TCGGGGCCGCCCCTCCCGCACCGCTCGCCGCCCGCTCTGCGCCGCCGCGCCAGCAGCCGCCCGGCCGCGTGAGAGTCCCCGGCGCCCCGCGCAGCAGAGCTCGGGCCGGGCGGGGGACGGGAGGAGGTGCGCCGGGGGCGGGGCCGAGGGCCGATCCCGCCCGCCGCCCCGCCCAGACACGTGCTGCCTTTGTTCCCGCCGCGGCGCCCGCAGCAGCGGACCGCGGGGGCGCTCTTCGCCGCGTCCCCGCCCTGTCGACGCGCGGCCCGCTCGGGCTGAGGCTGCCGCGGCAGAAGCCATCCACGGAGGGCGGCCGGGGCCTCGAGACCTTTTTTTCCATTAACATCCTCGTCCCCCGGGAAAGAAGCTTGGAAGCGCCAGGAGGAAGGCCCCGAACCGGGGGAGGCGAAGCCTTTGCGAAGCCACTCACAGCCTGATGGACTGCCCCATCGACTTTCATGTCTCCCCCTCCGGGGGCCTGTATTCCCGCACCTCAGGTAAAGGGCCGGAGCCCGGGTAAATAGAAATCCAGGCCAGAGAGGCGTAGGCAGTTCTGGGCTGGTCCAGGTAACAGCGACTGGCTTTCCCCCACCCTCCTGGGACGGGGCTCTGAGGCCCCCCGGGTGGGCCGCTGCCCCAGAGATGGGCCAGTCCTTCACAAACGTGACCTCGACATTTCCAGTGGCCCTCCTATCAGTTATAGTAAAACTGAAGCCACTGCTTTTCCAACCCTTTGATCCTCTGATTTCGATGCTTTTCATGCTAACCACATTATCATTTGTAGACGTGGTGCCGGTCATTGTAAAATTCTTATTCCGGTAAGAACAGTTCCTCTCAAAGACAAGAATTCAGATTCTTCACAAGAGCCATTCTTCATTTGTTTTTCTTTTAGTTTGATTCTGGAAACTGATTTAGAGTTATGCACAAACGGGAGAACCAGAAGAGTCAAACCTATCTTCATCCAGCTTATCGCCTCTAGATCAAAAGATAAGTGAGTGGTAATCCGGATTAACTACCAATTCCCAGACTCCAAGCCACTCCAGCACAGGAGGCCGTCAACCTGGGCCAGCTCTGCCAGTGCTGCCTCCGTGCGGCCCTACACAAAAACAATGCTGCTATCGAGTCAGAAAGTGTTAGAATGTGTATATGTACAACCCAGCAATTTCTTTGTCAACAGTGGCGATTGAAAGCTTTAAAGACTTTGGTGACCATATAATGGAAAATGCATTATTGTGTACCCAGAGGGCTACTTCTGAAACACCCACGAATCTTAACTCAGATGAAAACTAACCCTTAGCTCAATGGGCTCTTCCCTCCCCATGTTCCTCCGTGTGCAGCCTCTTCTTACTCTTGAGATGCGGGGGTCCTCAACTTGTCTCCTTCCCGACAGGAAGGAGAGTAAGGAGTTTGAAGAAGTAATCTACTCCAGGTCCCCTGGCCCAGTGACTCTCTGTCTCCAAGGCAAAGCCTTTTTCCCTCCAGCCCCTGGTGGAGAGGCCCAGCTCCCAAGTAGGCCTTTGTCCACACTGCCTCTCAAGGTCCCCTTCGGATTCAGGTGCTGAGCAGAGGTTAAATGCTTTCCACTTCACAAAATATGCCTAGATATCGAAGTCTGTAAGCCTCGCCTTAGATCCACCCTGTTACCTGTACCTACAAATTTCAGTTCTAGCTATTCCAATTCATGGCAGGCAGTAACCAAGGTCCACTTTACCCCACTTCATTTCCCAAACCAAAGCAGCAGGCCCTTGCCTGGCCCTTTTCCAGTCTGGCCACACTGGTATCCTCTCTCGCCGTCGTCCACCCAGCCTTCCCAAGCACCTTCAAGAAGAGCTCTTTGCATTACTACCTCAACCTTGTCACACTTGTCAAAGGCAAAGCCATGTCTGCAGCACGGCACGAACAAAATGTGCACTGCCAGCCCACTTGCTCTTTTGACTGAGGAAAGGGGTTGTCTGGAAGTCCCGTCCACCCCCCCTGCTGTGCCCACTGTTTCAAGGCACTCACCATCACCACCACCCCTCCAAGCTCCCATCACAGCTCCAATTGCAAGGCAAGGAAGATTCTGCCAGAAACGGCAGAATCTAGGCCCAGAATGCAGACCCAGCTGAATGAAGCAGAGCTGTTTTCTTCCCAGTCTTCTTCAGAGAACTGTAGGTAAGAGCTCCAAACCTCCCCGTCAATCAGCCTATTCATCCTATAGCCTATCTCTAGCTGCCAGAAGGGCCAGCCTGCTTGTTTATCTACACTGTTGGGCCGGTATTCCAAGGTGTCACAGAGAATCCCTGTCCTCTGCATGGCCTCGTCCCCACGCCACCCTGAGAAAGAGAAGAGAAGGCCCCAGCCGGCTACCTTCCAGGAGGGCTCCAAATAAAGCAGGGCTAAGCCCTGGCTTCTGAGGAAGCCATGCCTTGTTCCTTCAGGGATCACAGAGCAGCATCTAGCGGCCCTTCTGGGCAGCACAGGTTATGTAACGAGCACGCAGCCGCGCTCCAGAGCCAAGTGCCTCAGCGCCAGCCCCCAACACCAGCGTGGTCTCCGTAGCACACAAGAAACCCTTGGCACCCTGAGGGCTGGTTCCAGGAAGGGTCCCTGGGTGAGGAAGCCAGGCCCAGGCCAGCCTACGGGCCACCAGGCCCACTCAACTGTGCCCAGCCCCAGCTTACCTGAGGCCAGGGAGGGAGAGCAGGCCTGGAGGCCTAGAGCAGCACTGTCCAGGAAAACAGAACGTGAGCCGCAGATGCACGCCACATAGGTGTTTGAGTATTTTCGAGTAGCCACATTTAAAAAAAAAAAAAAAGAAACGGGTGGATTTTAATATTTTATTTAACCCATTATGCTCAAAATATTTCAACATATATATAAAAAAGTTGAGCTATTTTACATTTTTTTCATACTGTCTTCAAAGTCTGGTTTGTTTACATTTGCAGTGCAGCACACTCGGAACCAGCCCCATGTCAAAGGCTCCACAGCCACGTGTGGCCAGTGGCTGCACAGTGGACAGCGCAGGTCTAGAGACCGTCAGACCCACAAAGGGAGCAGAGGAAGGGCCGCTGCCAACTGAGCCTCGGGGCTGCCCTGTGCTTGGGGAACGCCCCCCCCTTCTGCCGCAGGGTCAGCAAAAGCAAAATTCTTCCTGCAAGTGAAACTATACAGGAGACTCCACAGAACTGAAACAGAGTAACAAAGAGGTTGGGACCGGAGTGGAGCTGGCAGTGAGCGCCCCCCTGCCCGCCGCCTTGGCCTCAGAGCCCCTCAAGCCGCTGCCAGGGTCTGAGGGGCGGTATGAAAATCACTGCTTTTGAGGATTTCAACTAAAAACAAAACCACAACTAAAAGGACTCTCCGGGCACCTGCACTGGTATCACCTCATAGAACCTTCATAGCACAATTGCCTCCCAAGGAAGCAGCCCAAACCCCCTGTCCTCACCGGACCCGGTTACCTTGGAAAACCAGAAGGATCCCTGCACACCACCTCCCACTTCAGACCTCAATGACCACCTTTCTTACCCAAAGCCCTCCACTTTACCCCAAATCTAAAGGTCTCCCACAAAGCAAATGATATACCAGAGCTTTGGCGGGTCTAGAAGGCTACAGAGCTGTGCAGACTTGATCAGAAGCCCTCCAGCACTCAAGAAAGGACACTTTTTGAAAAAAAAAAAAAATTGTTTTTATTGGAACTCATCTGAACATCAGATATACCTGGTGTTGGTTAGCAAGAACCGTTTGTACATTTGATATTGATGGTGCCAAAACCAAAACAGTGACTGGACATGATGGGGAGAGATGCTGAGAACAAAAACCTGATTTTGGAGAGGAAAGTAAAAGCCAGTCAGATTCAGTGAGGATGCAAAACCTGGTACAACAAAATCCTTTTACAAAATATAAATTTATTACGAAAACCTGGAAGGATAATCTGAGAAAGGGAAAGAAAGAGAAAAGGAGGCCAGCAGGAGGAGGCAGGAAGGGAGGAGTTAAAGAGAAGACGGATGAGAGGAGGAAGGAATACAGCTGGGCGCGACAGAGGTGCAGAAGCTTACCTGCCCAAATGGCAGAAAGCCTCATTACACGATCTTACCATAACACAAAGCATGCTGAAATACAATGCTCTACCTCCCAGCCGGTCAGTTTCTAAGAGGTAAATAAAGCAACTCCCTGGGAGGGGGACATGAGGTTGCTCGAAAACCCAACAACGAAGGTTTAAAAAAAAAAAGAAAGAAAGAAAAGAAAGCAAGAAAGAAAAACCCACACCCCACAGTCTCATTTCCAATGTTCACTTGTTTAAAAAAAGACTAAATCCATCTGACAGCAGGAGGAGGAGTGGGACAGGGAGAGAAGCTGATGGATTTCAGACAGCCTGACTCCCCTGGAGGGGAAGGAGGGAGGAAGAGAGACATGGGATGGTCTCCTGGTTGAGAGGGGAAAGAGAAAGGACAGAAGAACGGAGGAGAAGGGCAATTAAAACACTGACGTCTAATCTAGTTTACTGTGTTAAAAAGAGCCACATGCACAGTAGGCCCCCTGAGGGCCCACACTGCTCCCGTGTGGCCCTGGTGGACACTAGCTCCTGGCCTCGTCCCCATTCCTCCACAGGTCGTCGCGGAGCCGTGCAGGTGCGGCGGCAGTGGCGGCGGCGGCGGGCCCTCTGGCCAATCTACTGGAGCCATTGTCGGGGGTGGGCGGGGGGAGGGCGGGTGACAGGCCATGTGGCAGGGGAAAGAACACCGAAACGCCTCGTTTCAAATAAAAAAGAAAATAGCAGTCTATACACAGTTGTTTGTTTTGGTTCAGTACAAACAGAATAAAAAGTCGTTGCTTTGATGGTCAGGCAAACACCCAATTCTGAAGAGGAGGAGAGGTGGCGCCCAGCAGGTGGGTCGGGAGCCCCAGTGGTTGGCGGGGCACCTGGCTTTGCGGCCCTCTCCCAGGAGGCAGAGAGCACAGCTTTAGGTAGTGTAAGCCTTTTCCTTTTATTTAGAATAACCTTTTTTTTTTTCTTTTTCTTTTTTTTTTAAGCAATTTCCCCACTCCCAAGTTGGGCCAGTAAAGATTACATGAAAACTGGCACACCTATTGGCTGGAATACAGATGCACCAAATGAGGATTTAAAAACTTTCCGAGCGAAAAGTAGAACAAAAAGAAAAAAGAATCTCCTAGCATTTTCCCCAAAGGTTTCACTCTCCCGCCACACACACTCTCCAAAGGACCGCTACGGATCCAACTCTGCAAGAGAAGACAGAGCAGTGTCAATCGGGGAAGCTTCGAGGCCGCCTGGAGGCTTTCGGTCTCAACAGGCGGAAGACGCGCTGCCCGGTCCCGGTCCGGAGCCAGCACTCACCTATGTCAGCTTCTTGGCTTTGTTGTAGAGGGAATCCACTACTTTACTCATGTTCTGAATTGTTTCCAGAGCAGCTTCGTAAGTTTTATCTACTGGGGGTTCATCGAAAATAATCAAGACACCCTCCCCCTGGTCCAAGATCCCTGCAGGAAACACAAGGGCAACCCAGGTAAAAGAGGGATTAGACACAAAGGCACCTGAGCAGCCACCCACTCACTCCCTAGCTGCCTCCCTTTCTCCAGAAAGGAGAACCAGAAGTCATCTCCACGTGCCATCTGCGCATGTTTATTATGCAGTCTCCTCATCTCCTCACAGGGAGAGAAGAGGGCCCAGGGTCCCAGGGAGCCACCAGGTGAAACAAATGGAACATTTCCTTTCGAGATGAATAAGAGCTTCATGCATCAACAGCTTCACCACTGTTACTCACCATGAAATTTCTTGTCAAGAATCATCTGTGACAATTTCCTTTCCACGTCGGCCTAAAATCAAAGCACATGATTAAAGGGACGGGTATCCACTAGTCAAAGATCACACTGACAAGAAAGTTCTGTATAAAACGGCAAATGGGACTGTAAACAAAACAGCAACAATGTAACTCGAGCTCTGAGCTCACAGTCCCCATTCCACACTATGAAGCTGAGGACTTTCCAACAAGGCCCATGGAGTAGAAATGCTAACCGCCTCCACATGCCCCCTTCCCTGTGCCCACCCCCAAGACAAGCTCAGGACTCCTTACCTTGGAGAGTTTGATGAGGCTAGATATGTGTTCAATCTACAAGAAAAGGCAGAGACAGCGACACTGAGAGTCCTACTTCCTCCTCTAACCTAGGGGCAGGGTGGGGGTGTGACGGCTGTGTCTGCTGAGTGTGTGTCTCCCCAGGAATAGACTCTCCTGGGTCCTGTTCAGGCCCCTCATGCTCTGTCCCTCTGCCTGTCTCTCATCACTAGACCATACACACTCCCAGAGCACACACCCCCTACACAGACGTCTACCACATGCACGGTGACCACAGAAGCAAGGAGGGGACTGCACTCGGCACAAGCAGAGGCAATCTCACCAGGCTCCACCCCATGGCACTCTCACAACTCTTGTTCCTGTGTCAAAAAAAGCCCAAGCCTCTTGCCCACCAGAGTGTGTCTTGGAAGCAAGTTCCTGTTCTGCATTGGTGTGGCAAGCGAGGGGACTAAAGAGGACGCCTAGCCAGAGAACTAGAGTCCCCAGGCGGGTCCTTACCTGAACTCGGGAAAAAGGCTCAATGACTCGGATCAGATTCTGTTCCAGTAAGTTATCATACAACTTGGCCAAGTGTGTACTGATGATTGGGTCATCCCGGAGCTCTGCCCGATAATCTGTCAGGGCCTGCCAAGAAAGACGGTCACAGGCATTGGCTCAGAGAAGCCCCTGAAGCCACGCCACTCCTGGCTTCCTAAGCAGTCTGCTGGACCTCGTAAATACATGAACAACTCAAGTTCTAGAGAATTTGAGATGAAAGAAGAGCTAAAACATAGCCTTACAGCTATGCTATAAGGGAAAAGAAAAGAACCATTAGGAACTAAAAGATGGAGCCCTTTCTAGGCACCACCTTTCTGAAGGAAAGCCTTGTGTTGACAGCTCAAACCGTGTAAGCCCCACGAACAGCTCAGCCTGAAAGCCAAATCCACTACAAAAGCAGTTCTCCACAGGTATCCCACAGAGCAAATAAGGTCTCCAGGGGGAAAAAAAAAAAAAGAATTCTGAGGTTAAATAATGGGAAATACTTGGGGTGCCTGGGTGGCTCAGTCAGTTAAGTATCTGACCCTTGATTTCTGCTCAGGTCATGATCTCAGGGACGTGAGATCGAGCCCCATGTCGAGCTGGGCATGAAGTCTACTTAAGATTCTCTCTCCCTTTGCCCTTCCCCCTCTGTGCATACAAGCTTGCACACCCACTCTCTCGAAAAAAAAAAAAAAAAAAATAAGTAAAAAAATAATGGGAAATACTGAATCCCACAAGTGCCTTGTGGAGTTTTACAAGCACATCAGCATACAGTTCTGCAGTTAACAGAATGCAAAACACCTAATTTTGTTTCGTCCTCCTGTTTCCCAGACCCATACCCCAGGGAACCCCTAGTAACAGAAGTATCCCATCAGACATCCCAAACTTTAGGATAAAATGATCTAGTCTATTTTGTTTATTCATGTATGTAATTTATTTACTTTGAGAAATGGTCTCAAGATCCAGCCTCATGTCAGCTGTGCTATAAGGGGTTAAGAGAAGCAAGCAACTCATGCCAAGTAAGGAAGTAAAATTGGCAAGAAAGCTCAACCAAGACTATGAATCTTGGGGAGAGCCAGAGTCAAATGGTCTAACCTCTGTCTGCACAAAGTTTTCTTCCTAGATCTACGTTTGTTTTTAATTAAACTGGCCACTTTACTCAGATTAAGAGGAGACTCAGCAGAGAATATACAAGTCTCACTCTACTGCTTAGATATGTTTTTCTCCCTTTTCAAACTTTTGCTAACAATGAGTAAAAGTCACAGGAGGCAAAGCAAGCCTGGAATGTCAACCTCACAGGAGGTGTCTTCTGGTCCATTTGCACATATTAAGACTTCTCTTTTGCCCCCAGAGAAGGAGAGTTGGTATTTCTGGAGCTGAAGGAAACCCTACAAACATAACCCGAAGAACAAGTGCCAGGCCTGGCCTCAATCCCTGACATGTAATCTGTGGGGCTTCAGGCACCTTCACTGAACCCCAGCTCCCTCAACCATCAAATGCAGAGAAGAGGTATGTTGTGAAAAATCAAAGTGAAAAAGGATGAAAGAACATTTTTTTCAAAGATTTATTTATTTATTTGAGAGAGCAGAGAGAGAAAGAGCGCACACATGAACAGGGGGAGGGGCAAAGGGAGAGGGAGAGAGTGAAACAGACTCCCCAACGTGGGGCTCGTTCCCAGGACCCCGAGATCCTGTCAGATGCTTACTGACTAAGCCACCCAGGCACCTCCGATGAAAGAACTTTTTTTTTTTTTTTAAGATTTTTACTTATTTGACAGAGAGAGATCCCAAGTAGAGAGAGAGAGAGAGAGAGAGAGAGAGAGAGGAGGAAGCAGGCTCCCTGCCTAGCAGAGAGCCTGATGTGGGACTCGATCCCAGGATCCTGAGATCATGACCTGAGCTGAAGGCAGAGGCTTAACCCACTGAGCCACCCAGGCAGCCCTCGATGAAAGAACTTTTTGAAACTGAAAGGTACTAAATATAAATGAGGTATTACAACTCAACAAGCTTCACTGTACGAAAGTGCTTATTTCCAGGTTTTGATAATGTACTATAATTAAGATGTAACCATTAGGGAAAACTAGGTGAAGGGTACACAGAATCACTGTGTACTATCCTTGAAAATTCTTGTGAAACTATAATTATTTACAAATAAAAGGTTTTAAGTATGTAAATGTCCCTCTCCTCCACCCATTCCCTACCAACCCAATACCATGCTTACCTTTTCAAAATCTGCCAGTGATCTGTTCTTGCTAGCCTGAGCCACACATTTTAATGCTTCTGTCTAAGAATAAAGAGAAAAACAGTGACAGCGATCTATTCTGCACACTCACATTCCATCCAATCAATGTCCTAAGCAGTGTGTTATGTCCACACAACTTCTGGCTGCAAGAAGATCCTGCCCCACCACCGATCTTCTTCAGAGGCCGGGGAAGAGAAGCTAGACCACCACCCCTGTGTCCCAACCAGTCTCCCTTTGAAATCTGCAATTACTTAAAAATACTAGGAAATAAAAAGTTAAAAAGGAAAAAAAGGCCCTTACATAGCATTCTCTAAAGATGACAAGCTACAAGAAACAATGACCAGAGAACTGTGATCTCTTTCCCCCTCCTCCAAGGCTGCTTACCCCCAAAGCCCACAGACTCTTTCCTGCCCTTAGCTTCAGGTCATACCTGTGCTTCATCAAGTCTTATTCTGCTAGATGTAGTACAGAGCCCGAGCCAGGGTCTATTTTCATTAGGGTTGAGCCACCAAAATTCCACAAATTGCACTCAATGTTATAATGCCACAGAGAGAAGAAGGTACAATCAGTGGTTGAGGGCACCTTCTAACTTGATTATAAAAGGCACATCACCAACCTATCAAGTCTCTTCTCAGCAAGAAATCCATGATCTTTCTGGGAGTCTGTTCTGACTTCTGCTTAAGAGCTGTCATCAAGGCACAAAGGACCAGAAGGAGCTCCTCTGGTACCAGCCTATGCACTTACATAAGGATGGTGTGTGTTTTATGACAGACTTTGACATGGTGCAAAACTAATCATTAGTGTATTGTGTGTCAGCATTTGTCCCACAGACAGAACAAATATCAAATGAGTTAAGCCTGAAACTAAGAGCCAGATAACCCAAGTTTAAAGTCTGGCTCCCCTATTTAATAGTTACCTGATCCTGTCCTGGACACTTGCCCTCTCTTAGCCCGTTTTCCTCAACTCTAATTCTAAATAGGGCAGGGAGTTCTTCACTGTAGTAATAACAACTATTCCTGTGGTCAAAACTAGGATCCCAAAACTAGGGCCACTCGTAGAAAAGGAGGAAACCATCTGTTGTGGCCATTCCTCCAAAGATATGAGATTGCTAATGTGTCTGTTGTTTAAGAGACAACTGCATTTGAAATCTAGAAAGATTACTGTTACTTGACTACTGATAATCAGACAAAGTACAAAGAAGAGATGGTCCAGGAGCCTGAGACCATCTGTAACACATGTCACACTCATACCTACTCAGGCACAAAAGGGACTAATGACTATCAAAGGTCTTTTGAACCACGCTCAAAACTCAGGACCTAAGTGAAAACGTACTTAGAAGCACTTGGGTGAGCCTTCAAAACCCAGTTTCTGGGGCGCCTGGGTGGCTCAGTTGTTAAGTGCCTGCCTTCAGCTCAGGTCATGATCTCGGGGTCCTGGGATGGAGTCCCATGTTGGGCTCCCTGCTCAGCAGGAGTCTGCGTCTTCTAACCCTCCCTGGTCCAATCTCTTTCTCTCTGATAAACAAAATCTTAAAAAAACAAAACAAAACTCAGTTTCTGCACCAAGCACTTTGACCTCCCTATAAAGCACATGTGCACCAAACCTTAACAGCCTCCAAACTCCTGGAGAACCCAACACTTCATATTCTGCACATGTTAAGTTTTTAAGTCAGGCTCATGATAGATAAATGTTTTTGGTCAAAGCTAAATGCAGCCTAACTCATACAAATGTTCCAGTTCAGTTCTAGAACCCCCTCAAACCATCTGACATCTGTAAGAGCACCGCACACTGACTCTCCAGGCCAAGAATTTAATATAGAAAATACACAGAATGGGCTTACGGGAAAAGGGTTGGCAGAAGGAATTGGGTGGGGGGACACTCAGAGAACATGGAATGGAAACGTGAAGAGCACTGGTCCCACCAGGCATCATGACTGATGACGTACTGGTTTCAAGTAAGTAGTGATGAGAACTGCAGTCAAGGTATTCCCTACCTGCCTCCCCGCATACCGAAGTGCAAGCTTCCCGCTCACCAAAGCCTGGACATCTTCTGGGCTAGAAAAGAAAAAAAAAGACAAACTTGGTCACTGCTCCAGGATGTTATGCTTCTAAGTATAGGTTCAGACAAATTTCTTTATCTCAAAATTCCACTGAGAAGACTGCCCACGGAGATGAGAAGCCTCACCCCAAAACCCCATTATGTCCCTCACCTCACAGAAGCCAGGCTTTCGCTACTCTAGGCCCAAGCTCAGCATTGAAGAGTAGAAAAACTCCGGCATTAAAAAGAAAGTCACAGTGAACAATCCAAAAGTAATAAACCCAAAAGGCAGGATGATAAATTTAAGTCAAATCCCCAGACAACAGGTCTTGTTAAAACACAACCCCTGTGTAATGTAGAGATCCAAAAAGTCCTAGTCAATATCACATTTATTCCCAAACAAATGTGGATAAATTCTCCAGAATTCCTTATAAAAAGATCTGTCCTACCTGCTGTTGTTCCCCTTCTCAAACCTCTCAACTTCTTCCTTAACCCACCCCCATTCTGGGTGGCCCAGTGGGCCAGTGCTGGACTGTAAGCTATTTCCAGGCCCTCTGTCTGGTGCTCAGCAACTCCCTGGTCAGAATAACTGCAGGGTGACAAGAATAGTCCATGGTCTGGAAAAGAGATTTCTCTCATCTGTCTCCCCAGTTCTCAAAAACTAGCAAGCAAAAGTGCTCTGGGGAACACCTTCGATCCTCCCACTCTTATATAAGTCAACCCAGTCCCACAGGCGGCAGCTGCTGCTTCTAACCAGCCAAACTCCCTGTGCGAGCTATGTCTGCATGGCAGAAAACCAAGGTGAAGAACCTGAGTTCTCATAACCCCAAGTTAACAGGCACATACGTGTTGAGCATGATTTTGCACAGCAACATGTACTTCAGAGATGTGATGGCCTTTGGGCTATCGATGGAGTCATAACCCTCAAATGCCTCATAGAAATAGGAGTATGCAGTTTTCCAATCCTTCTCTTCTGCTGCGTGGATAATACCTGGACATTGAAAAGATAGGAGTAAAAACGATATAAATCGAAGATCAGAGCTGGGGAAAGCCTCCAAAATCTATCCCAATGCCACCCATTTAGTGATGAGGTCAGGAAAGGTTAAAGGACCTGCCCTAAAGTCACTGCCAGCTAGTGGTAAAGATAGAATGAGATCTTTAACCTCCCAGTTTCGATGTCATCTTGACAATATAAATCCCAAAAGAGTTAGAGACCCTACTTAAAAGGGATCCTAAAAACTATGCACTAACATCTTTCCCCATGCTTCTCATAACCATTATGGATCTGCTATCTTTTGAAGCCACTAGAAAAGGCCACAGTTACCCTTCAGGACATCACCCTCATACGTCAGGAAGTTGAACCAAACATCCTTGGACTGCCTGCCTAAATAACCTGTTTTAGTAACATTTAAGATAGCTTTTCTAAGCTTGACATTTTTGTATGTGAGCTCTCAAAAGAGAAAAAAAAAAATCCAATTTCTTATACTCTTGATAGTTGTCATTTATAGATGTGCTCTTGCCTAGAGCAATCAATATACAGATTTCATATAATGCCAGATCCATGAAACTAATTTAATTGGACATGGTTAAGCAGTATTTCCTCAGGCTGAGATAGAATAGTTTATCTAAACAAGCTTCTACCATTTAGAAGTTGGGTTGATCCCAATGAGGCTAACTTTGATTGAACTTGCTATTACTTCCAACCTGTGCTATCCAACAAGAAATTTAGTTCCGGGGCGCCTGGGTGGTTCAGTGGGTTAAAGCCTCTGCCTTCAGCTCAGGTCATGATCTCAGGGTCCTGGGATCGAGCCCCGCATCGGGCTCTCTGCTCAGCAGGGAGCCTGCTTCCCCCCCACCCCGCCTGCCTCTCTGCCTACTTGTGATCTCTCTCTGTCAAATAAATAAATAAAATCTTAAAAAAAAAAAAAAAAGTTAAAAAAAAAAAAGAAATTTAGTTCCTCCTAGCTTGGGAGGCATCTAAGCCCTCCGAGTGTATGTATCCGTTCTAACTCTGCTTCAGCCCCTTATGAGGTTACAGACTTCAGCCCCACCTGTTTACCACAGTGCTTCCCAACATTTTTCACATTGAGGTACAAAGACAAAGTATTCAGCAACTTGAAGTAGAAGGATGAAACTGCTTACACATGACCCAAGGGGACAATGTATCAGCACATTTTCAACCCACCTGTCACATAGCTCTGTGCCTCCACGACATCTGGGGACTTAATACCATTTATTGAGTATGGTATGTGCCACACTCCAGTACTTTTTACTCTACCCAAGAAGCCTCTCATTTTGAGGCTAAAGGAATCAGACCCTTGTTCTCTCCTGTTCTTACCTATAGAGAGCTAGAGAAACTCCACACTTCACTTGAGCTCCTTTAAGAATGTCCACTGAACTATTAACACTACTAACCTAGAGGGGATAAATCCCCATTCCCTTACCTCCTGGCCCAGAGCTGGAAGAGAATAGACCAGATGCACAGTAAAACTGGTTTAAAAAAAAAAAAAAGGTAAAATAAGCCCAAGAACTGGTATACTGCTTTCCCAAATACATTAATAAATAGGGCCTACATTAGGAGTCCAAGCATCATGGCTAGTATATGAGGTTTATTATTAAAAAAAAAAAAAAACAAAAACTAGACTGTCACTCATTCAACACAGATATTAACGAATGTCTTCAATCTGCCAGGCACCAATAAATGGTTACTACAGAGGAAATATGAATAAAAGGTGCTCATGAAGCTTAGTCTCACAGTGGGAAAGATGATCATCAAAACAGAAACAAGATTAGGACCACAATACATACAAAAGAATATAGCTTTGAGAGGGGAAGTCCAAAGGAAAAGGTGGCACTAGAGAGGGTTTATAGAGGAGACATGAACTGGATCTGGAAGGATACACGCGAGTTTGCCAAGGGGATAGATGAGAAGGGGAATTTCCATGCAAAGAAGACAAAATACAGAAAGGCACAAAAGCAAGAACACATGAAGTCATTCAGTGACTAATGGAAAGGAAAAGATGCTTTCCTTTTGCATACCCGTTAAAGTAAAATGTAGCCTGGGGATAATGGGGAACCACTGAAGAATTTCAGAGGCATTACATGATCTGATTTGTGTTTTGAGAAAAATGACTTTGGGGCCAGGTTAAAAAAAAAAAAAAAAAGTAGATTGGGAAAAGGGATCAGGGACAGTCATATCAGATCAGCAGAAGATTGCTCCAGTGGCCTAGGCCTTCACCACAGCAGTGATCAGAGATGGAAAAGAAAGGATAGGTTTGGAGACAGACTCCACCTCATCTAGCAACTGAGTGGATACAGGGAGTAAGGGAAGAAAGGAGTCAAAATTGCTCCAAAGATAATAGCTTGAGCAGTATCAAATCAATAATGATACCATTACCTTGAGTAGGAAAAAAGGTATAGGGAGGAGTTAGATAATAATTTTGCTTTTTGACATGTTGAGGCTGAGACACTTAGGAGGCATTCAGGTATGTACGTCCACGATGCAGCTGGAAATCTGAATCTAGAATTTAGGAGACGGAAGCTACTGAAGATCTAGGTAAGGAGACCACTAGTGGCAGGCAGCAGCTAAAGCCATGGGTGAGTATAGCATTTTAGACAGGAAACAGAGAACAGGAAGGGAAAAAAAAAAACTAGGAAAAAAAAAAAAAACTAAGAAAACAACACTGAGGAACACCCACACTTAAAAGTCAGAAGGAAGAGGAAACAGCAAAGTGTGGCCAGAGACACCCAGTCAAGGGAGCAAAATGAGGAAGAGAGTGATGTCAAAGAAGCCTATGGAGTGTTCAATAGGGTCGACTTCCCCTAAAAGTCAGAGGTTATTAGGGAGTTACTGACTTCTTTCAAGGAGTCAAAAGAGACCCCAAAGTACGCATACTCTTTCAACTTTTTCAAGAAACTTGACAGGAAAAGAAGACAGCAATTTAGAAAGGAGAGAGGGCTGTGCTTTTTGCAGCTGGGCAGTTCAAGGACTAAGAGGAAGATACAAGTAGAGAAGAAAGACTGAAGACTTAGAATGCAACAAAAGGACAGGGGAAAGAATCATTCTTCATATGGAGTAAATTGGGCTGTGACACAAATTCTGGAGAGGAAAGGAGGGAGAGTTCATGTAAACATGACCTCTATTTCCTCTGTGAAATCTGATGCAAATTCACCTGTTATCCCTTAAGGACAGGCATAATGAAAGAGTAGCAGCTTAAAGAAAGTACCAATACTGGTCAAAGTGAGGTACTGCAGTAAGAGCTTCACATTCATCATCGCACTGAATCCTCACCACAATCCTATGAGGAGGCATGATTATTATCACCATTTTACAGATGAACTAAAGATAAATTAAATTAAGTAACTTGCCCAAAGTCTCACAGAACTAAAATTTGACAGAATCAAACTGACAGAACCAAAATTTCAACCTAGGAAAGGTGGTTTGTAGAGCTCCTGTTCTTAATCTCTCTCTGTATGACAAAATAAACCATTTGCTATTCATAATACCCGATATGCTGGTAGTGCAGGCATTCTAAAAGATTGCAGGGAGGTAACGCCAGGAGGTCCACTCGTCTTCTGCCTTCAATTCCAGTGCTCCTTCCATAATGATGATAAACTATGACTAACAGAAGCTGCTGACCACAAGAAAAAGCATTCCACTGCCAATCCATGACCTTTGAGCCCTAATATTAACACACTCCTTCAGAAAGGGATCCCCTACACTCAAGTGAAATGCAGGGTAGTGAAGGAGGCCTTCCTTAGCCCTGATCTGAGGCCCTCTGGGAAAGTCCAACATGTTTTACCAAGGTCTCCAAGTGACAAGAGACTTGGGTTAGTCTAACCCTGGAGAGAAATCATTCCCCCTAATGAGTGACTCAGGTGGAGGTTAAGGAGCTTTTTAAACTTGTTGAGCATCTTGGCACTAACAAACAGGCTGCCTGGCCAGCCACAGGTAAGCATGTTCTTAGAATATTTTAGACAGTTAACAAGTTAATAGAAGGGAAGTACCCTTCTAATTCGGTTTCTCTGAGAAACCTGAGCGGAATCAGCCAACTACATTCTCTATCCCCATCCGCCATTCCCCACTGTGAAATAAGAACTTTAGGAAAACAGCCCACGAGTAGGTAGGGTGTTACCTGACTGCATATCCAAGGTGGCCTGCAATTTAGGGGGGCAGTAGATAGCATTTGCTGTAGTTCGAGCAGAAGTTAAGGCAGCGCGGGCTTTCGGCAGGTTGCTCAGGGCATGGTATGTTTTGCTTTCTAAAAGCTGTACTTCCACCAAAAGGGCTTTGTCATCCATCTTTTTCAACTCCCGCAGCAGCTGAGAACCTGGAGCAGGAAAAAATACATATCCCTTTGTTAGCCATAATCTTAATACTGTAACATCTCACTCTCCCACCCTCACAAGAACACTCAGGATAAAGAAAACTGCCTGAACTCATAGAGGTGGTCTATCTGCAAGCACTAAATTTTTTTACTAATGTGCTATCTTCCCAAAGAGAAACAGATCTCTTTGAAGTTTTCAGCATACTAATGACAATATTAGAGCCAAAAGTCCTATAAGCTTCCTCTGAAGATTTGAATACAATGAGAATCTTCACCCAGAACACGCCGAAACTAGTTATCTGGTTCAGACAGCCACTCAATCTCATTCTCTTCCTGTCTAGCAATCATACAACTACATACGAAATGGCAGCCACTAAGGTTGGTGGAGGAAGGAAAGAATTCTGGACATGTGAATGCTCTCCAAATACACCTTCTTCCCATCTCAGATGGGAAAATCAAATTCAAATAGACTTGCATCATATATAAAAATTAACTCAAAATAAATCAAAGACCTGAATGTAAGAGCTAAACCCATAAAACACAGGAGTAAATCTTTGTGATCTGCAATTAGGCAATGCCTTCTTAGGTATGATACCAAAAGCATAAACAATAAAAAAACAATAAATGGGACTTATGGGCACCTGGACAGCTCTGTTGGTTAAGCATTCAACTCTGGGTTTTGGCTCAGGTCATGATATCAGGGTTGCTGAGATCAAGCCCTGCATCGGGCTCTGTGCTGGGCCTGGAGCCTGCTTAGGATTCTCTCTCTCCCTCTCCCCACTGGCCCACCCTCTGCTCGCACTCATGCACGCATTCTCTCTCAAAAATAAAATAAGATTAAATTAAAAATAAAAATAAAATTTAAAAGTAAAAAATTTTAATTTATAAGAATTAAAAGGTAAATTAAAAATAGGCTCTAAATAATAAATAGTAATTAAAAATAATTGGATTTTAAATTAAAATATGCCTCAAAGGACATTATTCAAGAAAGTGAAAAAGCAATTCCTAAAATCGAGGAAAAAATTTGCAAATTTTTTTGCATCTGGTAAGGGACTTTTATCCAGGATAAACAATAAAAACACAAACAATCCAATTTAAAAATAAGCAAAGGATTGGATAAACATTTTTCCAAAGACATACTAATGGCTAAAAAGTACATAAAAAGATGCTCAACATCACCAGTCATTAGGGAAATGCAAATCAAACCACAATGAGATACCACCTTCACCCCCACAAAGACAGCTAAAACAACACGTGGCATACCCACCCAATGGATATTCAGCAATAAAAACAAATACAGTAGTGATACACACTACAACACGGATAAACCTTGAACACATGCTAAGTGAAAGATGTCAATCACAAAGACCATATATTATATGACTCTATAGGAAATGTCCAGAACAGGCATATCCAAAGAGGCAGATTAGTGGGTGCCTGACAGGGGGAGGGAATAATGGCAATGATAACTAATGGGTACATGGGTACAAGGTTTCCTTTTCAGAGTGATGAAAACATTCTGAAATCAGATCACGGGGATGAATGTACAACTATCTATGAATATACTAAAAACCATGGGATCATACATTTTTTAAAAGGGTGAATTTTGTGATCTATGAATTACATCTCAATAAAACTGTTATTGGGGGGGCTGGCTGGCTCAGTCTGAAAAGCATGTGACTCTTGATTTCAGGGTTGTGAATTCGAGCCTCACACTAGGTGTACAGATTACTTAAGCAAATAAAACAACAACAAAAAAAACACTTATTTTTTTTAATGCTACTATTTGTTTGAACCAAATGAAATGCCATTTTGCAAGATAAAAACTGAATATTGGCAATTTTTTCAACTTAATACATCATAAGAAGCCATGATCTTCCATCTGGGGAAAATAGTCCAAATCTACCAATTAAAAAAAAAAGAAAAAGAAAAAGCAGCAGGCAAAGATGACAGGGTGTTCAAAGGCCACACAGGGGAAAGGTTTTAGTCAGCCCGCTCTAGCCAGCATATACATTTGTACCAATTTATTTCTTGAGTTACAGTGCCTAATAGTAAACATGTGCAGTTAGACCCTTTGGTTTTCTAAATTTGACAGATTTACTCTGGTTAGTTACTTAAAACTTGCAAATGGCATTTCTCCACAACAGATTCAGTAAATGCAAAGCCACTTTAAATCCTTAGAAGTAGGCAGAACATATATTATTAATATGTAACCATTAAGAGTGGCCAGGTTCAGAAATACATTTATTTAGCCAGCTAAGATGCCTTATTACTTTCTACCAGCTTACTTACCCAAATGCAATGCTTCCTGGTACCTCTTGGTATCAAAGTACAAAGACACCAGTCTTGCCTAGGAAAGAGAAAAGGCATTGACTGATAGAAAGAAAGAAAAAAGCCAAAGAAAGAAATCAAAGATTGACAGTCAGAGAATTCTTACTGTTGAATATACAAGTTCTGGAGAGAGCACCAAATCCAGCCTAAGCAACACTCCAGTCCATCTGCCACGATGGCCACTGACTATGAAGTTTACCGGGCTGCTGCTTACTTCTCTGAGCCACACAAGCAAGTATTCTCATGAGCGGAACTACTATCAATAATCTTTGGGTGCCTGGCTAATACAAAATTACTGAAAATACTTTTGATCAGAATGGTATTACTTGCATTCACAATCTATCTAATGCCTAGAGACCTGAAAGCAGCACTAATGTAGGCACATTACCTCCAAAGCTTGGCGTAAGAAAGTTCGTTTCTCTGATTTGGCCCATTCGATGCACTCTAAACACAACTCGACCTGCAACAAAGAGACAACACATGCAATATTATGTCCTCACATTCTTCCCACAAACCTCGCTTTGGAGAACAGCTTTAATTCCCTCCTATATATTATCCATGTTGCTCTACTTAGTGTCTCAGGGGACATGCCTTGATCTACAGTATCTCACTGTGTAATGGTTCTATCATAATGGAGAACCATCTCGGCATTTTACACAGAAAGTATTGTTGCACTTAAGAATTGTGTTCTTTTGAAAAAGAGCTTCCCCTCCAAGATTCCTCTTCTACCTTCCCAGGATGGACCCATAACTTTCAACATCTATACCCTGAAATACAGATTTCTACAATGGCTGAGAAGTCTTTAAAGCAGAAATTTCTCCCTAAATAGCTGCAAATACTAATGGCAAGGTGTTAATATGAACCCATTGGTAATAAAGGTAGAAATTCTCAGCCTAAGCACAAACGCCTTATTCCTAACAGTTGCCTGTAACACTCAAAAGGCCCAGCTGGCTCTTCCCTTTCTGATACTAAGTGCAGCTAACCAATTCATCACCACAATACGATACACTTAGCATGTATTAAAGGGAATAAAAAGAAATTACAATTAGCCTAACACTTAAAAGGACTTTAACACTTTATTTAAAACTGCTTTGGGGGCACCTGGCTGGTTCAGTTGGTAGAATGTAAGACTCTTGATCTCAGAGTTGTAAGTTCGGGCCCGTTAACTCGAACTAAATGTTCGGTGCAGAGCCTACTTAAAAACATAAATGCATGAATAAAAAAAAATAATAAAGGTGCTTTGAATCCCCAGTTCTATCTGCCACCCAAGCAGTGAGATAATATGCAAAGTAACTGATTTAAAACAGTGTTCAATGCTAGATGGTCTACATGCCATCAGGTATTTGTGACATATTAGCTTTGAGAAACTACGTTTTAAGTACTGCAGATCTGGGTGCCTGGGTGGCTCAGTGTGTTAAAGCCACTGCCTTCAGCTCAGGTCATGCTGGGATGGAGTCCCGAATCCGAATCCGGGCTCTCTGCTCGGCAGGGGCCTGCTTCCCTCCCTTCCTCTCTCTCTGCCTGCTTGTGATCTCTGTCAAATAAAAAAAAAAAAAAAAAAAAAAAATCTTTAAATAAAAAGTACTGCAGATCTTTTATCACTTTTGTTACTGCAAGTTTTGTATTAAGATTCCTAATCAGAGCATAAGATTTAAAAAAAAAAAAAAAAACCACCAACTAAACTTTCTGCTACAACAGATCTTAGTTGCAGTTAGATCACCAACTAACTGCTGATACAACAGATCTTTACGTATATCCAAAGTTCTCTAAGGGAGATGTTATAAGGAAGGAAAATGAATAGCACATATAAATCAAACTGACAGATCTTCTGCTTTTAGATCCCAAGTCCAAGCTCAGTAAATAAGCAGATGCCATTACATGGTATTTGGAGGATTCACCAGTAAAAGACTCAAAGGAACCTTTATAACTCACTGAAGCCCCCTGGTGGCTACTTAATCTCCGGCACTAAACTCAACAGACCTAAAAATTTTACAAAAACTAAATTAAAAGCAAGCCAACCACAATTTCAGAGTTTTGAGTTATGTTCTGAAAAGCAAAACTCCAAGTAAGATCTCTGTTCCTGATGTGAATGGAACTGAAAACACTTTGCTGAACGTGTTTAACAACAAAAATACAAGAGTCCTTAGTCCTAATGTATCTTTGGAAGGCTAAGAAATGCTTACCGTCCCAGTTCTACCCAGGCAGCTTTTTTAAGAATATAAAAATGGATGCAGAGGCTCCTGACTCAGTAGTCTGGAATAGAGCCTGGCCACTGAGATGCAGCTCTCTAGTTAAGAAAACACTGAACTCTACTCCATCATCTCAACGGTCCCCATTTCCCGAGTCCAGATGTGAAGTGACTCACTCAAAGTCACATACCAGCTGCTGGGATCAGAACTTGACCCAGTGCTTCTCCAATGCTCTTGTTCAGGTCCATCTGTTATCCATTACTGGGTGCATCATTTGCACTATCTAGGACTTTAATTGGTAAAACCAGAACCTCAATTTTAAGGAAAAATTTTGAAGGCCATTGGCCTTGCTACACAACTATTTTGTTTGAGGCTTTGTGCTTTGTTAATGCAGATAATGACTAATAAAGGCGATAAGAATATATAAGAAGCCACTGCCTCTGGAGAAACCACTTATTTGAGCACAAAAGCTTGAAGTGATAGAAATCAAACATTTATTTTGTTTTTTAAAGATTTTATTTATTTTGACAGAGAGAGACACTGCGTGCAAGCACACAAGCAGGGGGAGCAGCAGGCAGAGGGAGAAGCAGGCTCTCCACAGAGCAGGGAGCCTGATGTGGGGCTCGATCCCAGGACCCTGGGATCATGACCTGAGCCGAAGGCAGACACTTAAAAGAATGAGCCACCCAGGCACCCAAGACGTTTAAGTTTTAAATCGATACACTTAATCATTTTTTTAAATGTCTTCAATAACTAGATCTGTATGGAAGAATAATAACTACTATTCCAAATTTTAAATTCTCCAGCACAAACTCCTTTTTTCCATGGAAATAACTGTTTCAGTAATGGGATTCGATGTAAGGTTTCTTTAAATGTGCTACTGTGGTTTCAGTTGGATAGACGATACCAAAAATGGCTTCCCCTGGGCAACTACCCAGAGATCCCTGAAAGGTAAGGTTAGTTTGAAATTCCAGTTCACCATTTGGCAAGTGTCTGGCTCAGTCCCCTCTTCACCCTGTTTCTCTACTCCCCACTACTTTACCAACCACCCCATCCTCACTCTCCCACCCCACCCTGTTACCTTACACATACTCCTCCCTTTCTAGGCTGTAAACCTCAACGCTGCAATTCACTCCATCCTAACCTGATTCCTACCACCTACTGGAATATAGCAAGCTAAAAACTGTTTTGTAATCTATCCGACTTATGGTTAGTTCCTAAACAGAAAGAGGCAAGGAAAATCCCCTCCTCCATTCTCTTGAGTACCAAACTCCCCAACACAAAACTCCTAGCTCTCTTAACAATGTCTGCAAACTTCTTCTTTTGCTTCATGCCATGATACTATCATGACAATACTATCATTACTTGATTCCCTATCCTTTCCCATTGCTCAAAGAATTTTTCAAAGAACTCAGAATGTTTCAAGAGGAACATGTAGCTCCAATTTCTCCAAGTCAGAGACCCTGAGTCACCTAGAGAAATGTAGTAACAACACTTATATCTCAATTCAATAAATTTATGTCTTAATTCAACAAAGTATCTCCTAAGCATCAAACATGGGGAAGCATCGAACATGGCGTTATCCCTACATCCCTCTAACAAACATGAGTTCTGTAGCTCCTCTGGGCCTAACTACTCTAAGTGCCAAGGATACGGCATGGGACGGGACAGAGTAGCTATCCTCATGGAACTTCTAAGGAGGAAACAGATGTTAAAAAGGAAAATAAATATGAAGAAAGGTAAAGCAGACTGGATATTTCAGATGGGAGGGCCTAACCAGACACAGAGCCACATGAAAAAGGCCAGTAAATCCCACTAGCCAATTATAGGAGAGCGCTGAATTCTGATTTAAGGGACCTCCACAAAGGAGCAGGAGAACTGCTCGTTACACAAATGCAATTCCATCCACTGAGTCAACTCTATGCTACGGAAAGGGACAAATTCCAGAGACTTCAGTGTGTAATGGAGCAGCTTTGATAATTAATTCTTTCTGCCTAAAAAGTTCCAAGGAACATGTATCAGTCTGTCTCAAACTAACATTTTTTGGTCAGTACATTATAAGGCACCCCATTTCAAACAAAAGATGGTGTTGCTTTTTCGTGAGAACAAAGTATAATCTTAAAAAAAAAAAAAAAAAGTTAGGGTTAAATAAGACTAAAATCCCATTAAAGTCATTTTTTTTTCTTTTTAAATTATTCTTAAAAATAATTCTAATGCTTTGGTTCAAAAGACAGATATCTAAATATTAACTCTTTTTGATCTACTATAATGAAACACAGTTCTGCCACAAATGTGAAAACTTTCCTACAAATGAATTTTTCTACAAATGAAGTGAGTTTATGGTGTTTAAACTAGGCCTCAAAGAATCATTAAGGCAAGAAGGCAGATTTTACAGAAGACCTGATTTCAAAGTGGGATCTATATGTCCTAGATTTCTGAAATTCCTCATTATTTACTCAGAATGCTACTGTGCCCTTTCATACTTCTTACTTGTACACTCACGGAGGCCAGAGCAAAAAATCAGACATATAACCAGCCAGCTATTCCTACCCCGTCCTTATATTTCCTGACATTTTATATATTTATCGCCTGCCTTCCTCATTAAAATTTAATTCCCATGAGAACACTGTGTTTTTACAAATGTATCCCCAGTATATGTAACAGTGTTTAGCACACAGCCTGCACTCAGTGAATATTAAGCAATGTATCTATAGGAAAGACAACTATGGTCTTTCTACCAACAGTATCCTGCTTGAATCTGCTGCTTCTTACAGAGTAAGTTTTAACTTTGGTAGTGTCTCCTCCTGAACTGCAGAAAATATAGCTATCTTCAAAAAGTTCACAAGAGGCTCCCTGATTCCAAAGAGGCACTCTTCTGAATGGTTCAGGGTCTGGTCTGAACTCATAGAGGACATGTACAGGTACACCAGAGTCACTTCTGCACACGAGACACAAACAGATGGATGCTCACCCCTCCATAAAGGCATATATGCAGTACAAAACACGCCAAGAAGGGATGCCACAGACTTATTCCGTGCTCACGAAGAGCTTTGCGACACAGAATGAAAGGTACCACAGACACAGAAAACATTACAAAGGTGTGGCAATACAATACCTCAAAGACAAGAATCAGTTTGTGACCCTGATGTAATGAGGATTCCAGGGACCACTGACAATCTCCACTTACAAAGCAAAGCATGGAACAGACCCAAAGTATCAAATGCCCTGTAACAAAGAGAAACTGACATGATAAGTCCTGAGCTGTCCTCCCAGCTGTCCCTTCCACATTAGTACCACAGTGTAGGCAGGCATTGCTTTCACTGAAACACTTTTTTTTTTCCATATCATCTACCTTCTGCCTTTAAAGTAACTTACCTCCTGCCCTGTAGCTGCTTCCATATCAAGAAACAGATCAAGAAGAGATCGGACCAGGCGAGCTGCCTTAGCCTTGCTGATGGAATTCAAGAAGGGTCGCACATACTTCAGGAGTCCTCCAAGCTCTTTGTGGAAGGCAATTCAGAAAAGAAAAAGTAAACATCAATATCAGAGACAAAATACCCATTAAAATAGTGACTCAAGATCATAAAATCCATCCTTATGTCACTGCAATCATTCTAAATGATGTATAGTAGGAATTTAAAACATCCTTAGCAGATAACAGGGTAGCAAAAATGAGTAAGCAATATATACTAAATTTGTATTCCATTCTGCACTCAGCTACTAGATTACTATGAGGGCCCTGGGAAACTCTCACGTCTCTTGGCCTCATTTACCCATCTTAATGAGAGATAAACAGCAAAGTACTCATGGTCTCAGAGCACAGTTTTCTAGAACATTAAATATGTTGTGCCTCTGACACCTGAGGTAAAATCACTTCCTCACAACCGGTAAATTTGATGAGGTTATGGGAAGGGTGTTTTGTGGTTGTTGCTGAATTTCCAAGTCCACCGTAGCAGCTCCCCCTTACACAGATGAAGTTGTTCAATTCCAGGGTCCCTTCTCCTCCCCTCCCGAAGTTCTCCCCAGTTTAGCCTTTTAGCAACAGCACTTCCCTGGCACCGAATAAACTTTTCACAGAAAACTTAGGGTGTTTTCTCCATTTATCTGTAAGTTCTAAGTCTTAAACTATGAACAAAAAAGGAATCTACCACAGAAGTTTTCTTCCCCTTGTATAGGAAAAAAAGGTGGCAAGTCATTTTAAGGGAGCATCTTTAGAAACAAGAGTAAAAATGAGAATATATTCCAACTCGTTAACTACGGAAGTACTTTTGGAATGTAGGTTAAAATTACTTTAGTGCCACCGCCTCTTTAATATTCTCCAATTGTGGACTCACCCTCCTGAGGATTCTAATTCAGGGCAAGCAAACCTCACCCTCCTGAGAATGCTAATTCAGGGTCCTGAAATCCTCATCTGCCTGAACAGTCACAGGATGCCTGGGACTGTGTCAGGTACGAAAAGAACTTAAACAGTGGAAAAGTTCATCTTTTCCTTCACTCCCCAGTACTCACCTTTGATTCCACTAAGATTTTCCCCATTCTGCCCCTCCACTCACCCCTGCATAGACTAGACATGTGTCTGCTTTCACACTTTGTTTCTGCTCCATTCCCATGCAGAATTTCTCCTCCATCTTCTCAACCTATGTAAATCTTAAGATGTCCTTTTAGGTCCAGCTAAAGTCCTATTATGTCTTCCAAACCAACTCCAGGCTGCACTGATTTCTCCTTCTCAAATTCCTTTTACATTTGTACAAATTTTAATTATACAATCACAGCTTTTTTTTTTTTTAAGATTTTATTTATTTATTTGTCAGAGAGAGAGAGGGAGAGAGAGCAAGCACAGGGAGACAGAATGGCAGGCAGAGGGAGAAGCAGGCTCCCTGATGAGCAAGGAGCCCGATGCGGGACTCAATCCCAGGACGCTGGGATCATGACCTGAGCCAAAGGCAGCTGCTTAACCAACTGAGCCACCCAGGCGTCCCAATCACAGCTTTTTAAAAGTAGTTTAGTACAATGTCCCTTCTCCCACAGTATTTCCTACTATGCTAGAACAATTCTGAACAATCTCTAATGACAGAATTGTTCAGAAAGCAGACTATTCGAATGTTAGTCAAACTAAATTGTTCTTTTTTTTAAGACCCAAGTCTTTACCCTCCTTCTACATGGTTTCAAATTTCTGAAGACAACTATCTTTTATACCTCCTTAATTTTCCCTTTCTCCAAGCTAAACATCTTTAGCTATTTCAACTGTTCCTCCAATGTTCTGGTTTCTAGATTCCTTGTCATTGAATGAACTCTAGTTTGCAAACATACCATCCATAGTACCCAGAACTGAAAACAATTCTCCAGGTAGGGTCTGACCAATAGAATCATGGCCTGATTCTCTTGATCTGGCCACCACAGGTAACACATGATAGCCTACTTCCTTTTCTCAATAGCACTTTATTAAAGTCTTTTTTGCACAGACAAGTAATTCCTCATCTTCCTCTGTTTTGATAAATACTTTTAAGTAAATAACTTTATACTTACCACATTGAATTTAATCTTGCTGGCTTTGGCAATAACTCTGAATCTTAATTCTGTCCTCTACTGTACTGAGTCATCTACAAAAAATAAGCAGGCCTTCTGAAGTGGCTTTAGCCATAATGCCAGAGGCTGACCAGAAGAACAAGGACAGATCCCTATGACATGACGCTAGAGACTTCCCTCTAGGTTGACAAATGATCTTCATACTCTGTATTTCTCATTAATATCATGGCCAATGTTCAAATGCCTTGCTTACATCAGATATGTAGTCTGTATCATTCCTCTAACCCAGAGGTTGGCAAACTTTTTCTGTGATGGACCAGATAGTAAATATTTTCAGCTTTTTGGGAGATGTGGTCTCACTGGCAGATACTCAACTCAGCCACTGCAGTACAAAAGCAATCATAGACAGTAAGTAAACAAATGGGTGTGGATGGGTTCCAAAAAAACTTTATTTACAAAAATAGCTGGCGAGCTGCTGTCTGTGGAGCCCAGCAAATCTACTCGTCTGATAAGGCTAACCAAAGAGAATGAAGGGGAGTTTGAAATAATCTTTCTTAATAAACCTACAGTCTTAAGTGATTAAAACCTACTTATCCAATAATCTGTCCCAGATACTAGTGATTACCAGTTTAAAGGGTCTAGGAATTATTCTTTCCATTATCTTCATGCAAAGTAAAATAATGTTTGCCCATCCTCAGTTTCCTTAATACTTCTCCATCCTCTATGACTTTTCTCAGAATAATAATAGTGGCTCTATAAATATATCTGCTAGAACTATGCTTCTGATATTAAAAGACAAACTGTCAGAGCCTAGAGACTTGAACTTATTTAAAGAGCCTATCTGCTCTTTCCTCTCTCTTTCTCATTTTTTTTTCTATCTTTTTCTTTTTGAAAATCATTTTCCTTCCTGGAAAAGGCTGAAGTGAAACATGAACTAAGCAGCCTGACTTTTGCTCTAGCACCTGCTAGCATTACAGTATTTGCTCCAAGCACTGATAGTGTTATTCTTCTTATCCCAACAAAGAAACAAATGACCTCTTAGTTGCCAAAGACTCAGTCCACTTTTCATTTCAGTCTATTGTTGCTATTCATTCTTGGTTTTATTCCCTGTTTCTTTCCATTTTCATACATCCTAAAGTAATTTTTAATTCCCAAAGAATCATACTGCCTTATTGAGATTATTTACAATTACACAACCCGAACTTTCTTTTTAGAAGGTCACAGAACTTGGGTGCCTGGGTGGCTCAGAGGGTTAAGCCTCTGCCTGCCACTCGGGTCATGATCTCAGGGTCCTGGGATCGAGGCCCGCATCGGGCTCTCTGCTCAGCGAGGAGCCTGCTTCCCCTACCCCACCCCACCCCCCCGCCTGCCTCTCTGCCTGCTTGTGATCTCTCTCTCTCTCTCTGTCAAAGAAATAAATAAAATCTTTAAAAAGAAAAAAAAAGGTCACAGAACTCGAAACAATCCTTTCAGAATCTCAAGCTATGAAATCTGCAGCTCCTGAGCCAGCCATCACGTCTGATGATGCTCAGCGCCACTTTCAACCACTATTATACATCAAACCTTGCCTCATTCACTAATTCCCAAACGACTGCTGTAGGTCAGAGACCTTATCTTATATTTTTTTAATGGAGTACTTAGCACAGTGCTAACTGTATATTAAGTGCCTAATAAAACAAAATTGAAGATTAATGGAATAGACATATTTTCTATTCTCAGGAAACCAAAATTCAAAGGAAACAATATAAACCTATCAATTATGAACAGCAAAGTGGGGTACAAGACTTCCTTAGAGTTTCTACAGTATATACCTATACTCATCAGACTCTTTCTTAGAAAACAATGACAAATGACCTAGAAAAGTTGTTCAAAGTCCTTATGATTCATCTGTTAAATTCCAATAGGTTTAGCTATACACTTCTCAATTTCTCAGGTACTAAGTCACAAAAAAGGGAGGGGCAAGGAATAAGGAGAGGGCAAAGCATAAAATGGGAATTTCAAGCAAAACAGTTAACATTTTTGGATAAATTTTTGAAGTACTGACCATACTAACATGCTATTTGCAATTATCCATGCTACTGGAGGAAAACAGATATTTGGAAATTTAAACAACAGAAAAGTCTTAAATCACTTTATCTGACTTTCTAATTCTTTCAGGAAAATAACCTTATTAATTATATTTTGTATGGACCAATTATCAAAACTATTATGCAATCCCAAGCTCACATTAACTGACAGGCAAAAGGAATCCATAAATATGTTAAATAGGAGGGCAGTCAGTCTAAAATGAAAAAAACAGGGACACCTAGCTGGCTCAGTCAGAAGAGCGTATGATTCTTTATATGAGGGTCGAGTTCGAGCCCCACGCTGGGTATAGAAATTACTAAAAAAATAAATAAATAAACTTAAAAAAATAAATAAAGTGAAAATCCCAGCACTGACCACTGATAACGCGTTAAGTGATTAACTATGGAAAGCATGAACCATTACACCATAAGGCCTCAAGCACTGAAGTGGGACAAATTGGTTCAAATCCTGGATCTTCCACTTACTAGATGAGTGACCTTGGAGAAGTTATTTAACTCTTCTGTGTTCTGTTTCCGCAGGTGTAAAATGGACAACAGCATCCACATTACTGAGTTGTTTTGAAGATGCAATAAACTGTATCATTTTTGTGCTTAAAATAGTAACTAGTTGACAGCACTTAAAAACTGTTTTATTATAGATATTTTTAAATACTTTAAATAAAATTCAAAAACTACAGAAACATATCCTCCCAACTGCATACATCTTTATACAATGTTAGTCATCCTTAATTGCGAAAGATCTTAGTTCTCAAGTTCAAGAAGTTTCGCTAACTTGTACCTCTTGGAAAACAGTATTATTTTGGGGAAAGTAATTCGTGAGGTCCCTTACCCTAGCTTAATCCATTCTAAATTAGATAAGACCTAAATTCACTTTAAAGTTGACAAAAATCATCCATTTTAAGCTTAAGCTTCTCTAAATACTATTACCACCTTAACTTGGTCAAAGGCCCTTCCTGGTCTCTTACTTCAATGACTCTTAGTCCAAGGACACACCCATCATCTGAGTATCACCTCAAGCCTAGAAACTCAATGATTCAATTACAACTAGAATGTTTGGGCAATAACATGCACGAAGTCCCACGTAACAATGGAGAAATCTCGGGAAGGCTCTTTCCATTTAACGTCTCACTTACTTTCTTAACAGAAAAAAAGGACATTCCATTGAACGTCTCACTCTGAACTGGTCTCTCACACTGAATTGGATGCAAAATCCCTAGTCGCTTTCAAGTCCAGGGGGCCTAAGTCACTATCCATCTTAAATACATCAGAGCTGAAATCACTAAAGACAGCTGCTGCTCATGCTGCTGCCCTTATATAAGGGAACACAGTGAAAACTAGAACCAGAAACAAATCCCACAGATCACTATATCCCAACAGGAACAGGATCTTCTCTCACCTGCAGAAAACTGTTCCACCAAAGAACTGAATTTAAAGGTCCACCTAGCTTCCTGCTAAAAAACTGAAGCTCAACAAGTTGACGATAAAATGGAATTATACCACCAATAAACTGTGTGGATGCATTCCTATGTTCCTCTACTCCAAAAGAAACTTGAAACTTTCCAAGTAAAAGAAAAAGCAACCCGTTTGCATCACTTACCGGCAGCTTGTCCAGTCTTTGCCAAGAGAGACCCCAGTTCCAGGATACTCTGCTCTTTGACCTGCACTGCCTCCTCATCATTCTCTTGAATGTCACGCTTCACTGGGAGAGGAAAATGCAAACCTTCTTAAAATTCTGATTAAAAAATGAAGACTGAGGGAGATTTCACCCTCACAAGAGCAATTACAAACTCAGTTACAAAAGACACATTCTAGGGAGCTTTAAAAAAAATTTTTCTTAAAAAAGTGAAATCATCATGTAAGATATGTCCCATGTAAATTATAAAAATAGATTCCTCTCCAATTTTAAATGTGCCTTTTCATTCTATGAATCAGAATTCCCCTTACCCACATACAATGAGATTTCTGTCGTAGTCACTTGGTTAAAGCAAAAATTCAAACAAGTTCTTCATATTGTGGTGGTTAGCCCCATGTTAGGCACTTTGTTACTGAAAATATTAAACATGCCTATATGTTTACCTGCCACAAACTAAAATCAAAAGACCATCATTTACTGGTGACTAAAAAAGTCAAGAGTCTTTCAATAAACTTGAAGCACACCACTAATGGGGTGCTTGGGGTAAGCAGTTCTACAAAGCCATTCAGGAAAAACAACTCAATCAAGGCTCCAGTGTGATCCTTAGGAGGGACTGCTGCTCTGTAATGGATCCTTAGGACGGACTGCTGCTTTATACTGGATTCAGGACCTGTTAAAATAACTTTGTGCTATCTGTCCCACTTTCAACTGTTAACAACTATTTTACCAAACACTGAATAACCTCTCTGAGTTTGTGGTGATCATTTTAGTGACCATCACTAGTTATCACTTCTCTTACAAAGCATCATGACTTGACAAAAACCAAGATTTAGATACTCCATAATGGAGTCCGGAAAAAGTAAGACTGTAACCATCATGACTCAAGCTTGCTCTGAGAGGGAAGCTTTCAGGGAACTCTCTCCTAGTGGAATGGGCAATCACAAAATACTCCCAACTATAATGTTCATCATAATTTCACTTATAAAAGTAAAAAATTTAGGCACTTAACACACACACACAAAATCCATGCTTCTCACATTAGCACGTACTCCTAGAATAAAAAAATATATATATGTGACTGAGATGACCCTGGTTCTATAATTGTAACTGACTTAACTCAAAGGTCAGAACTTCAGAATTAAAGGCTTTCATTTAACAAAATCATCCATTCACAGATGCATCTCAGCCCCCATCTTCCCTTCTCCAGTACCCCCAAAGATAAAGACATCAAGCTCTTGTCATTGTCTTTTCTCCACGCAAGTCAGGAATACCAAAATTCAACAGGCCAGGAAGTCAACATAAAAGCCAACATCCTGGAGGTCCCACATACACGTGCATTCCTACGCTACTTGTTGATCCGATCTGAATCTTCTCAAGCTGCGTTAAAAAGATCACATTACTACATGTGCAGTGAAGAGCTAACCCATGCCCTAACTGAACCCTTTACGACTTGAACATTAAAAGCCTTCTCTGTCATCACAAATTTATTTCTGTTCACACCTGAATCCCGGTGGAAACTTGTCGGAAGCGACTGGCTGGAGCTCCCGTTTCAGTTTTCCTGCGGCGTGCAAGGTGTAAGGCAATCTACTACAAACTGACTCTTCATTTTCTCTGGCAGTCTGCGGCCGACCGGTTCCCCGAACTCCGCGGCTGACAACTCACTCCCCGAACTCACTTCCCACCTCTACCGGGGAGACTAGGACGATTAGTCACCTCCTCTAGCCGGGCGGTCCCATCTCGCTCTTACACCCTACACGGGGGCAAAGGGACGTCTCGGGCACCTCTTCAAACCAAATGCCAATCTGCGGTGTGTGTCCCCTCCGTTATTTCCCACATTCAGAAAGAGACATCCCTTTAGTAGAGCCTTCCGCTGCGAGGCTGGGGAGAGGCAGCAGCTCTCAGGGTCCCGAGGAAGAAAACTCCAAGAGAAGAGCGAGCGCTCGCGCTGCCACCCGGAGCGGGCTGTGCTGATAACAACGGCGGGAAACGCTGTGTACAGCGGGTTTCGCCAAGGCCCTTCAACTCGAGGCTCTCAGTCCTGTTCGCGACAAGCCCGCCGGCCGGCACTACTCGCGGTCCCGGGCCAGCCCGCACGGGCCAGAGCGGGGGCAAGGCTGGGGAGTGGTGGGGGCCCCGGCTCGGCCCACCCTCTCACTCCACGCTGAGCCCACCGTGAGTCAGCAGCCGGCAAGTGGACGCCGGGGCTGCCTCGAGGCGTCCCACCCAGGTGAGACCCAGGGGCCTCCAGGGAGCTACGAGCGGCCTGTGCCCCCGGCCCGGCCCCCCTCACACACAGTGAGTCAGCAGCACCAGAGCCGGCTAGCCCGGCCCCGCTCCGTCGCCGCCGACCCACACAAGCCCAGCTGAGCCGGCAGGGTCAGAGAGGGGGCGCGGCGACCTTTACCGATGGAATGGAGAATGTCGATGGAGGCCTCCCGGTCGGTGCTGAGTAGAGACTGGGCTCTCTGGAACTCCACCACCGCCGCCGCCGCCATCTTACCGCTTTCACACCGTCCCCGGCCGCGGCCGCCGACGCCGGAAACACACTCCCGGAAAGCCCGCCCTCGCCTCCCTCTTCCCCCCATAGCCCCCTCTCTCTCGCGTTCCCAGAGCACTACGGGAGTTGTAGTCTTGTCGCCAGTCGGGGATTGAGGGGTGAGGGTAAGAGCTGGGGCGCCCGGGCTCGTGGGCGGCAAGCTCCCCAGCACCGCCTAGCGGCCAACCCGCGAGTCAAAGAGGCGGTGCCTAAGCGTTGGAACCGAAGGCTAGTCCCCACCCACTCCAAAAGAGGCCTCGTAACAGCAACTCTCCTAGCTCGCCCTTGAGAGGACTTTCGGAGCACCCGCCTAGATATTCATTGAAAGCCGCTTGGCTTCCTTTGTCACTTCCACGTTTAACCATTCATTCAGGGCAATAAACGATCGCATTAGTGCTCACGATGTGCCAAAGAATAGCAACATTCAAAGGCGTCCAAGCGTCTAATAACATCTCTCTCTTTCTCTCTCTTTCCCTCTCTTCTCCCACACACACACACACACTCACACGTACGTTGCAGGCTAGAATCCTACAGAATCATAGCCAGCCTGTGATTAAACCCATCAGCGTCGGGGAGAACTGATGTTAGAAAGTGAAATACCATCTTTGCCCCATTCACTCAATAAACACCTCTTGGGGGTCACGCGGAAGTCTAACAGCTATCTGGACTCCCCACTCAGAAAAGAAAAAAATGGATTTTTCTAGTATTTCCACCTCCTTCAACTAAAATCACAGATACTGAAGGGCTGTCAAGTGAAAGGAGAAAAGACATTCTGTAGGACCACTGAGGGGTGAGCTTAAGGGAAGGGCTAAAAATATAGAGGCAGTTCAATATGAAGAAGATATTTCTCCGGTGAAGACAATCCGAAAACTGAATATGCTGTCCCCTAAAGGGACCTGGAGAGGGAACCAACATTGCACTCCTCTGTGACTGGGTTAGGAAATTTATATATTTATCTTCTCTTATCCTTCCAACAATGTTCTGTGAAGAAGATGCTATTCACACTCCTTTCATAGGTGAGGAACCGGGTTTAAAGTGATTTGGTGAAACTCATACGGTAATTGGCAGAGCTGAGATCTGAAAGTTAGGGAATGCATTCCTAGTTCCTGGATGTGTCCAAACGAAAATTGATTAACATCTCATCAAGTTGCAAACAGGATTCATAGCAATGGTGGGGAAATAGATTAAAAGTCTTCTAGAGTTCTCCTAACTCTGAGATTCCATCAATCTCAGTATAAAACTAAGTCTTTCTTTTCTTAGAAAGGGCATTCCTCCCTCCTCAATTTGGTGTGCAATTAACATATCATGCCAGAATGCTAATGAGCTATAAAATTCCACAGCTGAGAACAGCAGGAAGTATCTTCACCTTCTACAGGAGGCCTACCAGTTCATCCTTACTACTTTAGTAAGTAAAAGATTTACTGAAAAATGACTAGACCAATCCTAAAACCTTCATCTACTTCCAGCCTCCACCAGGGAGAGATAAAAGTTCAAAAGGAATACATTAGAAGAAATTATGGAAGAGGATGAAATGCTCACCTCACTATAAAGAGGGAGCACTACAAAAGACTTGGGGTGTCTGCAAGATCTTTCTCCCGAGCTGGTGAATCTCACTGACTACAGCAACTTAGCCATCTCTGTGCATCCACATTGGTAAGAGTTTTGAGGTGAACCAGACCTGTCTCTCCAGGAGGTTGGGGCCTCTGTGCACATTCATGAAGGTGTTTACCAATATGGGCCTAGAGAATTCTGAATTAGGGAAGAGGGCTGATACATTCCACAATAGGATAAGGAAAAAGGGAAGCAATGGGGCAGCCTGCACTGTATTTGACAGAGTCGGGTGGCTAACTCAATAGGGCTTCTCATCAGAGTGAAAAGACCCAGTAATGGGCTGGAAGAGTGGACATCAAAAAGCAGTGACTGAAGAGGGACCTTAAGGTTCACAGGTATAGCCTCCAAAGGACCCATAAATGCTCCCAACAAGAAAGAGTCAGCGGGGAGCCTGGGTGGCTCAGTGGGTTAAAGCCTCTGCCTTCAGCTCAGGTCATGGTCCCAGGGTCCTGGGATCAAGCCCCACATCGGGCTCTCTGCTTGGCAGGGAGCCTGCTTCCTCCTCTCACTCTGCCTGCCTCTCTGCCTACTTGCGATCTTTGTCTGTCAAATAAATAAAATATTTAAAAAAAAAAAAAAAAGCCTCTGCCTTCAGCTCAGGTCACGGTCCCAGGGTCCTGGGATCGAGCCCCACGTCGGGCTCTCTGCTCCTCAGGGAGCCTGCTTCCTCCCCTCTCTCTCTGCCTGCCTCTCTGCCTACTTGTGATCTCTCTCTCTGTCAAATAAATAAATAAAATCTTAAAAAGAAAGAAAGAAAGAAAGAGTCAGCACCTGGATCTCTGCTTCTGTGTCATCCCATTAAAAGAAATCTCCTCCAGGCGCCTGGGTGGCTCAGTGGGTTAAAGCCTCTGCCTTTGGCTCAGGTCATGATCTCGGGGTCCTAGGATCGAGCCCCACATCGGGCTCTCTGCTCAGCAGGGACCCTGATTCCCCCTCTCTCTCTGCCTGCCTCTCTACTTGTGATCTCTGTCAAATAAATAAAATCTTTTTAAAAATAAATAAATAAGGGGTGCCTGGGTGGCTCAGTGGGTTAAGGCCTCTGCCTTCGGCTCTGGTCATGATCCTGGGGTCCTGGGATCGAGCCCCACATCGGGCTCTCTGCTCAGCAGGGACCCTGCTTCCCCCTCTCTTTCTCTGCCTGCCTCTCTGCCTACTTGTGATCTCGGTCAAATAAATAAATAAAATCTTTAAAAATAAATAAATAAATAAATAAATAAATAAAAGAAATCTCCTCTACCTTCAGTCTAGTAACCATATCACTCTATTTATTTCCTTCTTAGGGCTTAACACAGTCATGGATTTTATTCTGTCCCTCGTGTAAAGCTCACTTCCCTCCACAAAGTTTCAGGGACCGTGTCAGTCTTTTCTACCCTTATAGCCCCCAGCTCCCACCATAGTGGCTTGCACACATGGCAAACACTCAATAAATATTCCTTGGATGAGCACTAGTATCTGTCCTACCACAAACTTCTGCTGCCCGCAATGCCCATATCCCACACTATGTGACTGTTTAGCCATTGCTGCTTATATTGCGGTAGGGGTGATGGGGCTGTCCCAGATTAGCCATGACCTAGGGTTTATAAGGACTGGCCTGAAAAGACTAGCTGGACCACTCCAATTCCCCTCTCAGGAACTGGGGAACTGAGAGACTGAGCCAACTAGCCAAGGGAACTGAAATCAAAACCTGTCACTTGGAACCAACAAGAATCATGTAGGTAGAGGGAGAAATCAGTAGATGAGTAAAGAGAGGCAGGAATATCATGAAGGAGAATCCAAACACCACCAAAGAAGGCCACCTCAGTTCCTAACAACTTTCTCATTTCTACCTCCACCCCCATGAGGCCCACCCATGCCATATTCCCCATTCTTGAAATATCAGGACATGTTTCCTTTCCAAATATCTTCCAATCCTTTTCATTTTCATTTTTCATTTTCTCTAATATTCTTTTATCTTTCTTTTTTAACAATGTGAGAGGAGGCACCATATCTAGCTGGAATTAGGTTTCCTTGGTTTTGTGTTTATTGTTACATCCTGGTTATGGGCAATAATACCACTGATTTTCTATTGATGGTAGAGACATATAGTTACAATGAAAAACAAAGTGGATCAATTTAAATAACAATATATGTGGTATGTGGACATGGAAAAAATCAGGACTATGTAGGATAAGCAAATGATTATTTCGTCCATCAATATCACTATGTAGCCAACCATCTACCCCCCATTATCTTTCTTTTTATCGCAAAATCACATCTCTGATTGGAAGACCAGGAAGTCCTTTGGGCTCCTGCCCTAGATAATAATCTTTAAAGATGGCTTTCAAGTCACTTCTGGCAAAGACACTCTATACTATAGAAAAAAAGAAAGAAAATGGAATTTGAAGTCAGGCAAACATGGAGTACAAATATTCACTCTACTACCATTTAATAGTCAAATTACTTAAACTTTCTGGGACCAAATTTGGTCATCAATAAAACTACTTTTAAAAACCTACTCCAGGGGCACCTGGGTGGCTCAGTGGGTTAAGCCGCTGCCTTCGGCTCAGGTCATGATCTCAGGGTCCTGGAATCGAGCCCTGCATCGGGCTCTCTGCTCAGCAGGGAGCCTGCTTCCTCCTCTCTCTCTACCTGCCTCTCTGCCTGCTTGTGATCTCTCTCTGTCAAATAAATAAATAAAATCTTTAAAAAAAAAATCTACTCCATTTGAGGGGCACCTGGGTGGCTCAGTCAGTTTGGTGCCCAACTCTTAGTTTCAGCTCAGGTCTTAATCTTGGGTCATGAGATCCAGCCCCACGTCAGACTCTGTGCTCAACATGGAGTCCACTCATTCCTCTCCTTCCTCCTCTGCCCCTACCCCTGCTCTCACCCTCTCTCTCTCTTAAAAAAAAATAAAATCTTTAAAAAATATATATTCCATTTGATGTTTGCTCAACAATGTGAATAGGCTTGGCATCATAGAACTGTACACTGAAAAATGGTTAAAATTGTAAATTTCATTCTGTGTATTTTACCAAAATAAAAAATAATAATAATCTACTTCACAGAATAGTTTGCATGCTAAAGTTTTTAAGACACTATCACCCTTCAGCACTACCACTGACACACAGAAGTGCTCAATAAATGGCATCTCCTAAAAGACAGTTGAGGGGCACCTGGGTAGCTCAGTGGGTTAAGCCGCTGACTTTGGCTCCGGTCATGATCCCAGGGTCCTGGGATTGAGTTCCACATCGGGCTCCTTGCTCGGCAGGGAGCTTGCTTCTCTCTCTGCCTCTGCCTGCTTGTGTGCTTGCGCGCTCGCGCGCGCTCTCTCTGACAAATAAATAAAACCTTTTTTTGAAAAAAGTAGCAAAAAAAAAAAATAAAAGATAGTTGAATTGC